TAAACTAATAAGCTTATTAGTAGCTAAGTTGTTTTATAGTTATAAAGTACTATAAGTTCTTATAGTTAAATAGGACCTATATTAGATGCGCTGCACTTTCTAGTTTAAGTTGCTATTATTTAAAGTAGTGTACTATAGTAAGTAATTTTTTATTATAGATTTTATAATTACCTTCTGTAAGACTTATTCTGTTTAAGAAATATGTAATAAGCCTAATAGTCTTATCTAGCTTAGTCTAGAAGAGAACTTCTGCTACTATGTAGTCTAAAGCATTAGCTTCTACAAGTATTAGTAGTTTAAAGTTAAAGTAGTAAAGTATTAAAGCTTTAGTAAAGGCTTTCTTTAGCTAGTTAAAAAACTATTAGTAATTTAAGTTAAAGTTAAATTAAATCTTTTTTTTAGTAAGTGTAATTATAAGGCTTACTTACTATAAAAAGTTATTAATAAATTATTAGTAAAAGTTAGTAAATCTTATAAAAGCTTAAATATTTTTTATGTCTTTTAGGTATTACTAATCTAGCATAGTCTAAACCTTAATAGGGTCTATTTAGATGCTATTTATAAAGATTATATATTCTAAATATGTAACTTTTAATTAGTAAAACTTATATTTATTTATATTAAGTTATAGACCTACTTCTTCTATAGCTTTTAGCACTAGGCGTACATGCTATTTATGCTCTAAAAGGCTATTACTGTAGATTAGAATATTGTTAATATACATAGTGCAGAACAAGTCTAGGTAGAGTTAAAGCAAGTTGTTTATAAAATGTTAAAAAGTACTAGGCGTGTTAGCTAAGCTAAAGGGCATTACTAGGTACTTAAATAGTCTATATTAGGTCTAAAATACTATTAGCTACTTATTACCCTTTACTATTTTTAGCTTATTAAAGGCAGTAATAATATTTAACTTTATAAAATACTTTACTTTACTTAGTTAGCTTAGGGTTTTCTGTAAAAAAAAAATTAAGTATTAGTTTTTAATAGTAATAGTGTTTAGTCTTTAGTAGTTAACATAAAATTAAAGCCTACTCCTAAGTTTCTTTATAAATAGTATAAGTAACACTACTAGTAAAAAGCTAGCTTAAATAAACTTTTTTTTTAGGTTCTTATTAAAGTATTTTTAGAGCACTTTTAATTTATTTAGCAACATTCTATATAGTAGCCTATAACTAGGTTGTTTACTAGGCTTAAAAGTTATTTAGTAATTATACAAATGTTATATTAAAAGCTTATTAGACTTGTCTTAGAAGAAAACATGTAATAAGTTATAGTAGTTTTAAAAAACTATTATTTTTAAGTTAGTGCGTTTTTAAAGAGCTAAAGCTTAGTCTATATTAGAAATTATAACTGCGTAGATTTTATAATTTAGTTATTAAGCTAGGGTTATAAATAAGGCAGGTTCTATATAGCAGATGTCTATCTGCTGTTTAAGTCCTAGTTTATGTCTAAATTAGGTAAATAAAAATTCTTTAAAAGCTTTTTTTTTTTAAGTTTAAGTAGTTATTAAATTATTTTACATAGCTTATCTTAGTAAAAGGCCTAGCTTATTAGCCTTACTTAGGTAGTTCTTTTTTAAGTTATTAAAAAGTAAGTCTAGAGACCTTTTATATTAAGTGCTACTTAGGTGTTATTTAGGTGTAAGCATAAGTATACATTTTAGCATTAAAAAAAGTTAAAGTTTAGGACTTACTCTTAGTAATTAAAGGCAACTTTATGCTAATATAGCTATAGTTATTCTAGAATTAGGTTATAACATTTTATGTTTATTACATAAAGCTTAATCTGCTTCTTATAGTGTTAGTAAGTAATTATAATAGTTATAGTATAAAAAATAGAACTTTTTTTAAGTTATTTTTTATTAAATCTAGTTAAGTAAATTATTTAGGTAAGTAGTATTAATTAAAGATTTAGTTTACACGCTAGTTTTTTATTAATGTAACCTATGCTGTTTACTTCTAAGTTAATAAGAGCTTATATTAAGGCTAATATAGTTCTTTATTATAAATATATAAGAATATTAACTTAGTACTTTTAGTTATTAGTAGGGGACTTAGCTTATAAGTTAGCAAAGATCTAGTGTTAAATTAGTCTTAAGAGGCAACTTAGCCCTAGAACAAGCCTTTTTACAGGCTCCTACTGCTATAGCTGCGGCTATGTTAAGAGTAGTAAAAGAGATTAAAGCTTAAATATAAGTTAGAGCTTTTATAAAAATAAAATTAAAATAGTAAAAATCTTTAATAAGTGCTAGTAGTACTACTTACGTAGACTTAAAAAAGAAGAATAAAGCAGTTTTAAGAAATATAACTATACTTACTATACTTAAAGTATTAACTTTTTTTTTATAATCTTTACACTTTTTAAAACTAACTAAAGCATAATTTAAATTAATTTTTATTATATTAAAGTCTTTATTTATAACTGCGCTAGTTTAGAGGTGTATTAGAGCTTATATAAGGAGGAACCTTATGTTATTATTGTAGGTAGTAATTAGGTTTGCATACACATTAAAGTTGTTTAAAAGGGGTTCTCCTACTATAGCACATTATAGTTTAGTTAAGAGGGAGTTATATAAGGCTATAATTAGACCTATCTTATTTAGGCCTATATTAAATGCAAGTTAGTAGAACTTAGTAAAGTGTAAAGTAAAGCTTTTTTTTTTTATTATAAAGTGTTTAGGTAACTTAAAGCTATTAACTTTTTATTTAAGTCTCTATAAGTTACTTATAGAAACACTATAAATTAATCTAAGTTAATAATATTTTTATTTATTAGTAAGTTAATTAAGGCTATTATGTTATAGTTAAGTTAAAAGTAAGTGTATAGTAACTAAGAGCATTTAAAGAGAAATTAGTCTACATTTCCTTTAAGTTTATATTAAAGCTTATATAAAAAGAAAAGTAGGTCTTTTTATTTTCTATTAAATAGTAGAGGATTAGAAAGTTAGTTAGATTTTATTACTAAGTTAAAAAAGTTATAAGTTATAGGCAGTGTTAAGTAAGAAAAAGTTAAGCTATCTCTAGACTTCTAAGTAAGCTTTAAAGCTAGTAAGTTCTTAGTTCCTACTACTATAATAAAAGTTAAGGCAGAAATAGACTACTTAATAACATAAAGCTGTTTTTTAAAGTCTTTTTAAAAAGCTTTAAAGCTTATAACATAGTAGCTTTTTTATAAAGTAAGCGCTTTTTAAAAAGCTTTTTAGCTTACTCTAATAGCTTAGAGTTATATAAGTACTAAGCTTATTAGATTAAATTTAGAAGCTATTTTTAGCTAAAGTTTTAACATAACATAATATTATAATTATGCATAAGTAAGGTTATAGAGCTTTACAAAGGTCTAGTTTAATTACTATATAAGGTATTATAGTAGGTACAAAACATTATGTAAGAAATAAAAAGGTTTAAGAGAAAATTAGTAATTAAATACTTAGCTTAGAAGTCTAAGCGCTTTAGGTATAAATTAAGCCTGTTCTAGGTTTAGTTAGTGTTAAGGCAGTTTATGCTTAAGTTTATGTCTATGTTGTGTTGTGTTTGTGTCAGACGTGCACTAATAATACTCTAGTACGCGTCTAATACAGTTATGTCTGGGATCTGGGGAGGATACTGTGACACTCTACTACTTTTTATCTAAACTAGGTTAGATTTTAATAGGTAATAGAGACAGTCTTTAGCTATATTCTAACATTTTTATAACCTAATTTTAACAAGATTTAGTGGAGTATTACGCTATTAAGTCTTATATAGGACATTTTAATAACTTTATAACTACACCTTAATATAACTTCTTAACTACATAATATATTATTTTTAGAATTTAAGACCTGTCTAAGATAGGCTCTATTAGAGAGCCTACAAAATTTTAAGAGATCTAGGCTGCTAGTTATTAAGCTAGATAGTAGGCTAGAGACATTATAATTACTTTTATATTTATAGCTTAACTAGCTGTTGTCTAAGGACTTTAAAGACTTTAAAGATCTAAAAGCTGTCTTAGACTAGCTCTATTAAAGAGCCTGCAAAATTCTAGGAGATTTAGTCTGCTAGTTATTAAGCTGTAGTCTAGTAGATAGTAGTCTAGAGATGTTATAATTACTTTTATGTCTACAGCTTAACTAGCTGTTGTCTAAAGACTCTAAGAATTTAAAAGCTATCTTAAACTAGCTCTGTTAGAGATCCTATAAAATCCTAAGAAATTTAGTCTACTAGTTATTAAGTTCTAGTTAGGAGGGTAATACTATAAATCTAAAATTAGAGTATAAATAGGTTAAAGTTCTGCGCGCGTTTAGATTTTTCTCTACTAATAATAGTTAGAATTTAGTAAAAAATATACTATTTTATAGCTACAGCTTGTCTTTACATTTTATTAAATTCTAAGCCTATTTAGATATATAGTAGTAGAGATATTGTAAATCTAATTTTATTATAATGCTCTTAAAATAGGCCTATTTATAGAAAAAATCATAAAAGTCCCTTAGACAGCTAAGGAGAGAAACGCTACTAACAGGGGTCAGAAACTGCTAACCCCCTAGGCCATACTCTATTTAGAGTAGCAATATGCATGGTGGTTTGTGCGTCCTCAGTTCTCTCCTCACGTCTGAGCTAGCTGAGATAAATCGGAACGTAATCTAACGGAGGGCGGCTACGCTGTCACACCTGTGGCTGTGCAAAGCCTTCGGCCTTGCGATCGAACTCACTCCCCGTCAACCAGCTCACCTCTTGTATATTCGCCACCTCACGTGTGTGTGTGTCCCCGCCCCCGGCGCAAAGCTCCTGGCCGGTACGGGTCGGCCATCCTCCCTGCTAGCGGTGGCAAGTCGAAGTACCATCTCACATAGACTGCACCTTACAATGATTTCTAATCGAACGGTGGTATATTAACTATGCTGTTTTTATGCTACGTCGAGCCTGCCGCTGTAGAGACCATCGGTTTGCCACACCTATCTCTTGCTATGTATTATAATGGCCGAGTATGGGTTACGAGGGCCTCCCAAGGCTGTGCACGGGGCGCTGACTTGCTCCCAGTTGTGGCTGGAGGTTGCGGACCTGAGGCACTCAGCAGGACGACGGGCTCGCCTCTTATCGATATCACTTCACACAATGTCTCCATCCTCTCTTCCCCTGCTCTTCTAAATGCATCCGCCACCATCCGTCTCCACGCTCTCCCAACATGGATCCGCTTAGTCTTACAGCCAGCATCATCGCTGTTCTCCAGCTCTCGACCAAGGTCCTTGAGTATTTGAACGACGTCAAAGACGCCTCGAAAGATCGAACACAGTGCGCTCTCGAAACCTCGAATCTTTACAATCTACTTTTTAACCTAAGGGCTCAAGTGGAAGAGGGAGATGCAACAAAGGAATGGTATACCGCTCTTCGAGCACTTGCAGTCGAGAATGGGCCGCTTGACCAGTTCAAGGAAGCGCTAGAGACGCTGCAGGCTAGGATGACAGATGGAGGTCGACTAAAGAAGGCTGGAGATATTCTCATGTGGAAGTTCAAGAAAGAGGAGATGGTTAGCATATTAGGTCGAATCGAGCGTTTGAAGACGCTGGTTGAGATAGCGTTACAGAGGGACCACTTGTAAGCTTTATGCTAGTACTACAAAGCAGTACTACTTACGTGTATAAGTAAACTCTCCCGAGCGATAAAGACCGACACTGAAGCCATCAAATCCGACCTCGACTCCGTTCGGACACGCGGAGACAACGCGGAGCACCGCAGGCTTCTACAATGGATATCATCTACAGACTACCCCGCCCAACAATCCGACATTATAAAGCGCAGACAGGAGGGAACAGGCCAGTGGTTTCTAGCCGCGCCTCAAGTGGCCAGGTGGCTCAGCGAACCCCAGGCAACACTCTTTTGCTCGGGGATCCCGGGAGCTGGAAAAACTATATTAGCAGCCATCGCGATTGACCATCTGTTCGACCATCTGTTGAAATCAATGCAGAGCAGCTCACATGGAGTTGCTTATGTGTACTGCAACTACAAGGCTCGGGAGGAGCAGGATACTTCTCAGATGCTGGCAGCTATCCTCAAGCAGCTGGTGCAGGCCCGCCCGTCGCTAGTAGGGCCCGTGGAACTGTTGCACAAACAGCATGCTGACAGAGGAACCAGGCCATCGCCTGATGAGGTCTTTAGCGCACTCCGAGATGTGCTTGCACGTTACTCTACTGTCTATATTGTGATCGATGCTCTGGATGAATGTCAGGACAGCGACGGCACGCGGCGCCAGTTTCTGACCAAACTGCGTGATCTCCAAGTGGGACGGGACGTTCGCCTAATGGCCACCTCCCGTTTCATCCCAGAGATTGTGGACTGGTTTAACCAAGCGCTGAAGCTGGAGGTGCAGGCGAGCAAAGAAGATGTGAAGCGATTCGTGGCTGGCCAGATATGCCGACTCCCAAAGTGTATTCAGCGCAACTCTGCGCTACAAGAGATTGTCCAGGAAAAGATCGTGGAGGCAGTAGACGGCATGTATGCTCTTCCTAGCTAAATTGTAATATAACGCAGACTTACATGTTCTTAGGTTTCTTCTTGCTCGCCTCCACACTGATTCCCTGCTGGATAAGAGAACAGTGAAGGACGTAAAGTCAACGCTAGCTAAGCTCTCTAAAGGCTCAGCCGCACTCGACCATGCATACAAGGAAGCTATCCAGCGCATAGAAGGCCAGTTAAGCGGAGATTACGAACTAGCCAAAAAAGTACTGTCGTGGATCACGTATGCGAAAAGACCGCTTACCACGACGGAGATGTGCTGTGCTCTGGCAGTAGAGCCGGACGAGGCGGATCTCGATACCGAGAACATACCTGATGTTGAGGACCTATTGTCCGTCTGTGCTGGACTGGTTGTTGTTGATCAAGAAAGCGCTGTCATCCGTCTTGTGCATTACACCACCCAAGAATACTTCGACCGTATTCGAGATGCATGGGATCCTGGCGCTCAATTATACATTGCCTCCACATGCCTCACCTACTTATCACTTAGCATATTTAAAACTGGGAGCTGCTCCTCTAACCAAGAGTTTGAAGAGAGGCTTCAAGAAAGCCAGTTCTTAGACTATGCTGCCAAGCACTGGGGAGAGCATGCAGTAACAGTGGAAGATCAGATATGTGAGCTAGCTTGCTCATTTCTTTCCCACAAAGAATTGGTTTCTTGCGCTGCGCAGGTACTCTCACGTCCAAAATACACGTATCAGGGGTATAGCCAGGCATACCCTAAGGACAGCACGGGATTACATCTTACAGCACGATTCGGATTACCAATTGTATTAGAGGCACTGCTCCTAAACCAAGTAAGGGAGACAGCACTCGTATTGGAAAGAAGAGATAGCTATGGCCAGACCCTCCTATATCTTGCGGCAGGACATGGACATCAAAGAATGGTGAAGCTGCTGCTCGACAAGGGCGCCGACGTCAACGCGCAGGGTGGAAGGTACGGCAACGCTCTCCACGCGGCTTCAGTACGAGGCCACGAGACGATAGTGAAGCTGCTGCTCGAAGCAGGCGCTGACGTCAACGCGCAGAGTGGAAGGTACGGCAACGACAACGCACTCCAGGCGGCTTCATACGAAGGTCACGAGACGATAGTGAAGCTGCTGCTCGATGCAGGCGCTGAAGTCAACGCGCAGGGTGGAAGGTACGGCAACGCGCTCCAGGCGGCTTCAGAACGAGACCACGAGACGATAGTGAAGCTGCTGCTCGAAGCAGGCGCCGACGTCAACGCGCAGAGTGGATGG